ACGAGTAGCACAACTGTGAATATGTCTATGAGTGGCAATGATGGGGATGCATTCAGCTGCCCGCAGACTGGCTTATCTATGCAGATTTCAGGGATGTCTCCACAGCTCCAGTACATCATGCCATCCCCATCCAGCAATGCCTTTACCACTAACCAAACCCACCAAGGCTCCTACAACACGTTTAGACTGCACAGCCCCTGTGCGCTCTATGGATATAACTTTTCCACATCCCCTAAACTGGCTGCCAGTCCTGAGAAAATTGTTTCTTCCCAAGGAAGTTTCTTGGGGTCCTCGCCAAGTGGAACCATGACGGATCGGCAGATGTTGCCCCCCGTGGAAGGAGTGCACTTACTTAGCAGTGGGGGGCAGCAGAATTTCTTTGACTCTAGGACCCTAGGAAGCTTAACACTCTCGTCTTCTCAAGTGTCTGCACATATGGTTTGATGAAGCCTTTAAGTAAAAGTACAGTATGTTTGGTGTCTACAATGTATTTCTTTTGGAATATGAAAGGACACTCGATGTAGCTTGTAAAGTGTGTGTATATATAATATGAGAGGAAGTTTCACTGAATTTTTGATTTGCTTGTGGCCAGATTATTCTCCTATTTTGAGTTACACAGAGTTTGCTGCAGCGCAGACTGCTTTAGTTTTCTGGTATAATACACTTAGTTGTACAACACGTTGGGACATATGCAACAAATTAAGTAAGACTTCCTCCCCTTTCCCCCTCCTTTGTTCTAACCCCTTTAAAGAATGAAATGACACTTGGAGTATTAAACAACACAAACAAGCCCACTTACATTTCCTATAGTACTAGTGAGTTTTTTGAAAACATTCATAAAATGATAAGCTGATGCACCAAAGGTATTTTACAAGTTTCTTCTCTGTTATAAGGGATATGAAGAGTATTTGGACTTTTAAGTGTTATGCATCAAGAATCCAGCCTAAAATAGAAGTTTAGGTAATGGATTATTTACGAAGTAAACAGAAAGATTAGTTTGCCTTCTCATGATATGCTGGTTTTAGCTTATCAAAGGCACAGCATTCTCACTAGGAATTTTTTTTTTTTCAGCATTAGTCTAGATTAATGATTAGGTACTTGAAGACAAATAATGCATATTCAAATTGTGGTGATAGTAATTTAAACCAACAGCAGAAGAAGCAGCATTCCTTGGTACAGAATGAACTTCAGGGTGCTTCATTTTTGTCAAAGGGCTTGATGCATTTTTTGCCTCCATAAATACTGCCTATAAGACATTTACTGACAGTAGGATATTCTAATGTATCTTTATTTTTATATTTTTACTTTTTTAAAGGAAAATGCAGGTTTGATTTAGGAAAAAAAAGCAAGCAGGATGAGAAATTCCATTATTGGTTTTACCCATTTGTGTGTGTGTAATGGTTTGGGTGTTTGGTTTTTTTTTTTTAATTAGGGCAAAAAGTCCTCCATCCTCAGTATCTCATAAATACATCACTTGTATCAATTAGGCGGATGACCCAGTTTGCCTGCAAGTGTTTCTGGAAGGAGAACTTTATTGTAGCTGCCTCCCTGCTGCTCTGTTTCTCAGACAGTTTTTGCCCTGGAATTGGAGAGGTTCCCTTCCTTCCCAGCTCTGGTTTTAAATGGCACTTGTAAGAATGCAGGTCACAACCTGATCCTGAACAGGCTTCCCCAGAGTGACAAGGACACAGGGAGACACTTGTCATGGCAAAATTTCTGCCCTCATCTGCACCTGCACAACCCCAGTACACATCAGTCCTGCAAAAGCTGCCTCTCAGCTGCCTGCCTGTCGGAGTGGAACAACGAAGGTTATGGAACAGATTTTAATGCTTGAGAGAATGGGTTGTCTTCAACAGTATGCTAAGAATCCTTTAAATTGTGCAGGTGATGTAAAGGCGTTATAAAATGGGTACAAATGTAGTTGGAAATGCTTCTCTGGTCAGCATTGAAGGAGAATAAGGCCTTTCAGATTTTACGTTTATCTCTTGTTATATTTTCTTTATGAAGGTGGATTGTTGTGTTTCTCAAGAAAACTGTTTGTCTTTTCTGGCAAACAGTGGGCTTAACTACTCCCACTTCAAGAAAGACTGATTACAGCTAATATTTCCTCAGTGGGATGGAGATGATTAATGCAGAAACAGCCCTTTCGATATCTCCTCTTATTATTTGGGAATAGAAGAGAAACCACAGCAGTCTTTAAGCCTGTGCCTGGAGAAGGCTTTATTTCTATTAGTTCCATACTTGTTTATGTTAAAGAAGACTTGTAGAAAGTTCTCATTCAAAGCAGGAAAGACAAGAGGGATGCAGTTGAGATGTGGGCTTGCTTCTTTGCTGTCTCAAACTTCCCAAGTGACCTTGGGCAATTCACTCAGCCTTTTTATATCTAATTATTTTTTTCTTCTGTAAAATGTGATAATAGCACTTCTCTGCCTCACAGGAAAGGGTGACAGTACATAGATGATGATCATCTTTACACCTACTGTACTCTAGACAATACATTACAGATGAATGACTAGGTAGCGTTCATATATGAAGATAAGAAAGACCATTTGTGCACTTCAGGTCTGTTGCTAGTTTTGGCATTGCAGTGTCCTTTGAGGCAGACCTCCTAGCAAAGACATGCAATGCTAAAAACACTATTCAAAAACCTCACACTAATGATTTGTGACATGGTTCTAAGATGTGTAGAAGATGGGCAAATTTTCAGTTATGTAAGTTGTCATAACTTTATTGGTTTAAATTAACAAGAAACTTGTGTGTAGTAATTCATGCTCTAGCCAAAACTTTGAAATGTTGCAGTTGGACAAATCAGAAGAACAGTACAATTAATCTGTACTCAAAAAGGATAAAGATAATTATCCACATCATCTTAAGGGCTGTGACTAGGTAGAAATGTGGAAGAACTAAATCTTGTAGGAACATGAAAGGGGAAGAAAAAGGGTTGTGCATGGATGTTCATTGAGGTGTTCCTGGCAAGAGTATGTACTTTATCATCTGGGAATTTTTAAAAACTGGTCTCTTACTTTTCCTCAAATTATTGTTATCATATAACCACACAGTATTGTTTGAAACATTTGTTCCTTAAAAATTTGAATCGTATTGTAAATACTTACTGGTGTGTCATTGTGAAAAGACTAGCTTTTTATCAATATAGTAAATGCTATATATGCATTATATCTATAATTATATATCTGTATTTTACAAAAATGCCACAGAAAATATATTAAAGTGTGTATTCAAACACTTCTTGCTACATTTGGAAAATTGAGGGGCTTGGGCCTTTTTTTTTTCTCTACAACTTCAGCAAGACCAAAAGAAGTGACTCTAAGGTAAGCTCTGAAATTCAGAGACTTATTACAACAAGCTGCAACAATCCAACTAATTTACAGTTCTTACATGGTTTAGTTTAACCAACTGCTGTTGAACCTGTCAGTAATTTGTATGCAGAGGTCATGACGTGTTGGGTACAAGAAGATGCTGAGGCTGGTAGCAGAACTGTGAGGTTTTTATGTGGGAAGAAGGGACTGAACAGCTCGCTGGGCTCATTAGCCAGTGATTAGCCAGTTTACTGGTCCCTCATAGCCCAGCTCATTGCCGCTGCCCAGACCAGTTCAGTTGCCCCATATCATCCAGATTTGGGAAGTCAACATTTCTATGTGACCAGGTGCTTCAGTGGGAGCTCGGTACCCTGCATATTTTCCTTGTGCTCTTACTTTGGCCATTCCCTCTCTGTTCTGCTTATTCTAAGTGCAAAAATCCATTGATTCCTATGTCACAATTTGCAACCTATAAGCAGTTGGGTATACTGTTACTCAGCAACAAGCAACATTTATCCCCCTAAAAGTACTGTTATGCATAGTGGCCTTATTTCCTATTGTACTGCAGTAAATGATTCCATGTGATGTAGGGCACAGGGCCGGAAAATCTGATTACTTTAGAGACTAGGGTTTCATAGTCACTTAACACCAGCATTGTTGCAAATGACCAGAATTAGGGCAAGAGAAGTAGGCATGAAATGCTTGATCATAAATATCAGGCCTCAAGAGAGAATGAGAGCTTCTGTTTTTAATAAGAGAAGAAGCCTGTTTTGGAATAGCACGATCAAACTCTGAGAGCACTCATTTCTGCTTCAATAGAGGACAACAGGAGAAACTAAAATCTTGGACAGCGTTGGCATTAATGCCAGCAAGTCTATACCATGAGCAGTTCAACAGAAGGAACTTAAATCATCATGAGAAGTAACCCAGAGTTTCTGTGGATATATTTTTCCCATAAAGGTAATATAGCTAATTAGTCTGTATAGAAGTGTGTTTAAAAAGGCTGAAGAGTAGCTGCTTGTAAAGGTTTATGTACCAACTTCACTTACAGAGTTACTATTTTGTTGCACTCTTTTCTCATGGCATTAATGTATTTTTAAGTTTACTTTGAAGTCCAATATTTAATTTAATACCAGTAACTGCAATTTATCATAATAAGGTAATGGTTAGCCTTTGTGGGCTGATTGCACTTCAGCTGATAAAATATATTGGCTTTTCAGCTGAACTTTCATTAATGTGATCCTCAGAATCAATATTTTGCCTTGTATTTAACACAAAGTTGTTGGTATGTCAATTTAGTATGTGCAAAACTACAACAAAAATCATGTTCTGCCTTATGTTCCACCATATTCCTCAGTTACCCTGTTAATTCAAAGCACTGATATGCCAAGATGGCACACACTTAAGAGGTGATGACTTGTCTTATTAGAAAATGACATTTGTAGAGAATTCAACTTGCTTTATTTTTGTCAGTGCTGTTATGTTCATGCACTGAAAAGGTGTCTTTTACCCCCAAGAAACAGAAGTTCTGTGTAGTCATCACTCTTGCAAAGCAGTGTTGAATTGGCCATAAAAATATATCATGGTTTGGTGCCCAGATCCCTGACAGAATGGTCCCAGCAAACGAGAATCTGAGTCTTCTGGACATACCTGGATAAAGATAGGGGCCTGGATTCGTGATAGTTTTTTCTATTCATTAAATACGAATCCTCTTCATCTGAAAAGGCTAGAACTAAAGTTGCGTACAGGGATTTTCTAGGTCTTTCCTTGTAAAACATAACGTGCTGCAGGCTGGTTGAAAGTGTGTTCCTTCTTGAAATATTGTTGTTGCAGTTGTTCTGCTCCTTTAGGGTCTCTGCTTGCTAAAGCACTGGACAGGTTTGCAGGGGAAGAGGTCAGTACTTTCTCCACTGTTACTACCCTAAAGTATACTTCTATAGCAGAAACTCATTACCCATGTGAAGTAAGTAATCCTGCTAAGTGTCAGCCATGATGTTTGTCTCAATTTGAAGTCCGTATAGTAAACATTTTTAAGAAGCATCGATAAATCAGATCGGCACTGCTATCAGGAAAATACAAATGCTGTGAGCAACTAGAAATGCTCACCTGAAATTTATTTGCCTGTCACCTTCTGTTCAGAGATTAATGACCCTTAAATAGTTAATATCTCAAATTTTCCACTCCACCAGAATGAGCATTAAACCTCCAGGACCTGGATACATTTCCAAATGTTTCCTTTGTGGCCTTTCTGAATGTTGAAGGTAATGCCCAGGTTTCAAGACAAGCGCTTGAGCTCGAGTTCTGCAGCGGGGAGTGGCAGGAGAAGTGGAGATGGCACAAGTGGGCCCTGCAGTCCCACCATACACCTCTGAAATGTCACAGGTACTGTGGCACCCACAGGTACAGTTCTAGCCAAATATATCTCAGTGCGCCTCTCACAGGAGTCTGTAGCCCAAAACAAGAGCTGATATCAAAGGCTAGTCAGGAAGGATAGAGCATGATGTGAAAAATACCTGTGTTACCTGAAAGCTGGGATGTTGCAATGAGTGTTTAAGTGTAGCCCCAGCACAGATTTAACCTATGTCAGTACTGCAGCTGCTTGGACTACGCAATGTCCTTATGTTCATTTGCACACCACTGTGTTTTATTTGGATGCTATAATATGGAGCCAAGAGTAAATTTAGAGCATGTTGGAGGAAACCTGGACTCTACTGTGGCCAGGGGTAATGTTGCCACTGACTTAAGCTTTATGGATACCACATTCTCAGATCCTAAGCCATCCTTCTTTATGTTGCTGAGTGCTTTACCCACGCAGCAGCTGTAGTCATATTCTTTCAGGGACGTTCTTTCAGCCCTTCATGGCATTTTTCCGGTGGATAACTGACAACATTTCACATGTTCATATTTTGTTTTTAAATTTGTGCTTCTGCAGTTTTTGGGCCACAGTCTGTCTCGCACTGAAAGATAAGACAAGGCTGGAACATGGTGCTCCCTTCTCCAGAAGCCCTGCTGATGGATGGT